GACCCTTGAGTCTGCAGGTGGATACTCTATCCACTGAGCCAAACCAGCCAGGACTCCGTTAATTATTTATTTTTTATTTATCTATTTATTTATGAGAGAGAGAGAGAGAGAGAGGAATATCTATCTATCTATCTATCTATCTATCTATCTATCTATCTATCTATCTTCTATCTGACTATTTAAGGAATTGCCTCATATACTTTTGAATGCTGGCAAGTCCAAAATCTTTAAGGTAAGCTGGCAGGATGCATATTCAGAGACAAGTTGATGTTGCAATTTGAGTCTGAAGAAAGACTGCTGACAGAATTCCCTCTTCTTCAGGGAAGGTCAGTCCTTTCCTTAAGGCCTTCAACTGATTAGATGAGGCCCATCCACACATGGAGAGTAATTTGCCTTACTCAAAGTATGCTGATTTAAATGTAAATCTCATCTAAAAAAAATAACTTCACAGCGACATCCAGACATGCTTAAGCCAATATCTGAATACCATGGCCTAGCCAAGTTGACACTAAATTAATGATCACAAAAATATTACCTTTAATGGAGTATACATTTCATTTTAAATATGAACTATATTATATCCAACCCCCTAAGGTTAGATGTCAGATTTTCCCCAACTTTTTAATCTTACATTTGGCACATTTTTGGCTAAATGACTCATTTTTGTCTTCAAGATAAATTCACAGTGTGTGGGGAAAAGATGAATATTTCTAAATTTGAGAAGATTTTACTTCTGTTTGCCAAATTGCCCTTATAGGTTCTTTACCCCTTAAACTACAACTGAAGTATTCGGAGTGGGAAAATGCCAGGCTTGCCTTGATCTTCTCCTTTCTTTCTTTCTCAGCCTGCAGGTCACTGGGGACCGGCATGATGCTGAGTTCCTGGGCCACCTCCTCCATTGAAGAGGTGGCAGAGGCTGGTGGTGAGGCGCTTCGCTGGCTGCAGCTGTACATCTACAAGGACCGTGACGTCACCAAGCAGCTCGTGCGGCGGGCCGAGCGGATGGGCTACAAGGCCATATTTGTGACAGTGGACACCCCTTATCTGGGCAACCGCTTTGACGACGTGCGAAACAGGTTCAAGCTGCCACCACAACTCAGGTAACCATCGGTCTCTGGCCTCCTGGGTCCCTGAGATATTCTTCTAATTTTCTTTGCTCTTGTCATGAGCCAGTTCCAAAAGTTTTCTCTAGTTCCCAAGTGAGTGGCTTAGGGAATTGGTTCTTCATAGAATGTTGCACCATGAGTATGGTTGAAAGGGATCTTGTCTAGGGCTGATAGGGTCTGGATTCTAGGGATACTGTCCTTGCCAAATATCCCCATAATTGGCAAGATCCAGCAGATCACACTCATTTAGTGGGTGTCACATGCTTGAGCTATAAAAGAGGGATAGAAATTGCCCATATATTTATAAAAGTCAAATACAGTTATGTATCAGAGTACATTAAGGGCTTGGAGAAGTATGAATTGCCATATAGATAGAAGATACTTAATATAGCCCAGGATACAATTTTATTGTGATCCCAATATCCTAGGTCTTGTTGAAATCACAGAGCCACCTAGTAACTTTTATTTTTCATTGTATCTGGGCTAGGAAGATTGAAGAAAACTTAAAGAGTGGAGACAAGAGGAGCCACATGCTTGATCCCTCATCAACTACTTCTTTGAGCAATAACCCTCTTTTTAAATTTATTGATTGGTTTGAATGAAAGAGATTAATTGTTATTCCACCCATTTATGCATTCATTGGCTGACTCTTGTAGATGCCTTGACTGGGGACTGAACCTGCAACCTTGGTGTATTGGGACGATGCTCTAACCAACTGAGCCTATCTGTCCAGCGCTGCAATAGCCCTACATAATCATAGGTGAACATTAATTCATATATTCCCAGGTTCATTCATTCATTCACTCACTCATATTAGCATAAACAGTGTGTCTAGTAATCTATGGCTGAACAATGATGTTTTTGTTAGGTCAGTCAGCTTGCGCAGTAGCAGGGAATTGTCCTTTTTCCTGTAATAATTTAGAATTAGGATAATCTTTAGTAAAGCTGGGACTTCAGTGGAGTTTACTAAGAAAGACCCCAACCTCCCTAAACTACAGACCTCTTTTCCCTTTTATTCTATCCTTCCCCAGTTCCCACCAAAATCTGCTATAAGGATTGTTCATAGCAATGTGTGACTGACAACCTTCAGGGCTAAACACATTTGAACAGGAATCAACATATTAGTTGTAATGGAAGACATTTTGATGATGGGATTTCACAGCCTCCATGGGAGAAGTAGAAACAACGAGGGATGCCTTCTTTGGATCCTAGACCTCATTTACATGGGCTGTTGCTTACTCTGGCTGCATGTAACGTTAATCCTTCTAAAATCTGGAAGATTCAAAATCAAATCAGCATTTCATAGAAGGTTGCAAAGATTGTTGGAAGCCAGGAATTCCACATATGTTATAGAATAGGATGTATCGCAACGAGAGAGAGAGAGAGAGAGAGAGAGAGAGAGAGAGAGAGAGAGTGTCTTTTTTTAGTACATTGTCATCCCCAAATTGATCAGTTTTGTACACTTGGAGTTATCTGGATAAAACACTTACCTGCCTAGATGAGTCCTAATAGAAGTGACTTGGAACATGAGTGGCTCACCCATCTTCATTGACATAAGAGCCAACCTTAATAACTCCAGGCATCTTGTTTTTGAAATGTCTAGGATAATCCAACAAGAAGAGCTGTCCTTATACAGTCCTGGGTGTCACACAACTGTCCTATAGCTCTGCTGAGTACGTACCTAACTGGGTATAAACTATGTGCATCAAATCTTGTTGCTGAGCCCTATGTAAAGTAGCTGTGTGATGTTCTCAACCTCCAGCGGGTTTAGGATATTATTTCTGAATGTGGTACCTTCAGTGGCCAATGACAGAAGGAGAAAGTATTCTCCCATCAGACCTGCCTCCTGTTTCCCAGACCAGGGTTACCCAGAAACCCTGTCTTTCTAAGAAAATAAAAGTAAAAGACCCCTGACATATTCCTACATTTTGCCAAATTCATCAGAAAGTAGATGGCTTCAAATTTCCCTACGATGAGATCTGTATTCACATTATTTCTCTGTTTTGATTACCTTATTTTTTTAGACTTTCTAAAATTAGTATGCCACCTAAGGCTTCTAACAGGAAACATTCCTCATTATTTTTCTTTTGCCATTTCAAAAGGAGTTTGCTGCTTTCCTCCTCCTCCTGTTAATATGACTAACAACAATAATAACAACAGCAGTAGGGTTATTTCTGCAGCTTCGGAAGCACTTTCTCGCTCTGGGTGACAAAAGGTGTTCACAGTGGCAGGTACTTAGACGTGGGCGATGACGCAGTTGCTGCTTCTGGCTGCTGTCTTGCTCCTTCGGTGCCACGCCACTCAGTCAGGAGCGGGATTTGCTTTCCCCCCTTTTCCTTTGCTCCCGGGCTCCCACCCAGATGACCCACCAGACCATGAGACAGAGGCTCTTTTTAGCTGTCCATGTGCACAAAAGTGGCTTGTCACACCTCCCGTCTACAGATGATCAAATAATGAGCAATACGCCCAGATCACTGAGGACGCAGGAAACACCCCGGGGCTGGATGCCGCACTCCCAGAGTGCCCTCTGGCCTTGCTGGTCCTGGTGGGCTGCAGGCGGGCCAGCTCCTCTGGTTGGCTTCCCCGTGGCCCACACTCAGCAGTCGAAGGCAGAGCCCACTAATGGGAGGGCCAGGCTTCCGCCTGAGGCCACATACAACCGAAAAGCTCCTCTGTTCCAGCCTGATATGAAATCAGGTTTCTTTCCGCAGCTGACCTGACTCATAGAAGGTGAAGCCGGGCTTTGCAGAGTGAGGTTTGGCAGGCGAGGGAGGCAGGAAATCCAGAGGAGAATGAGTCTGTAAAGCAGTGGCTCTTTCCAGCCCTTGCTACTTCCTCTGCCGCGGTGGGGGAGGGTTCTGACTCTTGGCATCTGGGACCAGCCAGAGTTCAGGAGTTTGGTAATCTCTGCTTGGTCTATATGCAAAACACATGCGTGTGTGTGCATTCTGCATGGCACGGAGGTTCCTGAAAGTGAGGGGCGGTTAGGAGAATACTCATCTGCTCTTGGAAGAAGCCAGGAATGAAGCCAGTTCCCTAGGCTGGTGCCAGAGGCTCTGAGGCAGGGCCCTTTCTGTCTCCACACCCCAGGGGACAGTTCATTTTTTCTGGGTAAAGATCTGGCTCTTTGGTGTAACGCCAGGGCAGATGAAAGAGAAGAAAAGGAACTTCCAATCATTGACTATGTTCAAGATAAATCATGACACCTACCCTTCCGGTGATTTGCCTGGGGACATGCTTCCTTAAGCCCCAGCATGGTTTATTGATTATAGCAACCAGAACAGCTCACACACAAAAGGATCAGACTGTCATTGTCTTCCCAGGTCTCTCACCATAAAAGTAGCCTATGAGGCCAACATGAGCAGGCCCCCCATTGCTTCCTGGACCTCATCTCCTAGCATCCTCCTCCCTACTCACTGAGCCACATTGGCAACCCTACTCTTCCTTCAACACACCAGGCGTGCTAGTGCCTTAGGGCCTCAGAATTGATTCCTCCCTCTGCCTGTGATAGCTTTCCCCCAAATCAATGCACCGCTCACTTCTTCACTTTTCCTATGTTTCTATATCAGGGATGGGTCTACGTGTCTTTATATTGGGAAAGCAAAATAAAAATAAACAGTAGAGATCAGAATAGAGACACAGTATGTGTGGGGACCTTGGAGAGGATTTGGGGAAGAGAAATATTTGTGAAGGTGGACTAGGTATATGGCTCAATAGCCTCTGAATTCTTTGGTTAGAAAAACATTCACAATATAACTGTGTTACACAGAATGAGGAGCTCCCAAAGATGTCCATGTCCTAATCCTTGGAACCTGTGAAGATGTTATTTACATGGCAAAATGGACTCTGAGGTGGGAAGATTATCCTGAGTTCTCTCACAGACTTAAGGTAGCTAAGGGGTCTTCATGAGAGGGAGGCAGGAGTGTCCGAGTCAGAGAAGGCAAGGTGATGATAGAAGCAGAGGTTGGAGTGATGTCATCTGGAGTCAGGGAACATAGGTGGTCTCTAGAAGCTGGAACAGGCAAGGAAAGGGATTCTCCCTCAGAGCCGCTGGAAGGAGAACGGCCCTATCCACACCTTGAGTGGAGCCTAGTGGGAATCATTCTGGACGTCTGGCCTCCACACCTATAATGTAATAAGTTTGTGTCATTTTAAAGCCTCTAGGTTTGTGATCTTTTGCTATAGCAGCAACAAGTAGCATACCCAATAACACCGATCTGCTCATTTCCTCTACAAGGTAGCTTCTCAATGAGGCTAAATTTGATTACCATATTTTATTTTCAAGTCAACCCTCTGCCAGCTCACTTACCTCTTATTCTGCAGTACTTTCAAAAATGTATTTATTCATATTTATTCATTTACATCTTCAGCAGAGATTTTTTTAAAATTGAATTTTAGGAGGGGGAGAAATTGAGAGAGAAAGGGGGAGAGAGAGAGAGAGAGAGAGAGAGAGAGAGAGACATTGATCAGTTGCACACCCTGACAGGAGATCGAACCCATAACCTTTTGGTGTATGAGACAATGTTCCAACTCTCCAACTGAGCCACCCTGCTAGGGCCTTTTCATTTATTTTTTTATAGCACTTATAATCTAACTTGCTCCATAAATTACTTATTGATTATATTTATTTTTTATTTTCTGTCTCTTCTTGCTAGAATATCAACTCAATGTGGCCAGGGATTTTTGAATGTTTTATTTTTGGTCTACCCTAAATATCTAAAACACTAGCACACAGTAGGTGCTCAATAAGTAATGCCAAATCAATAAATAGAACTGTATTCGATCATGTGAGATTTACCCAATAAAACATGACTGGTAAGAAGTTGAGCAAAGGTTTGTACTCAAACTTAAAACCCATTCCTTCAAACTTTCTTTTAACTGCCCAGCCACATTGAGGAAGAGATTAGCAGGGCTATATTCTCAATATGTGTTTCCCTAACCACAGAATTAAAGGCTAGGGGTCCATGTACCAATTCCTGTATGTATTATGAATCTCTGTCTCTCTCATATTGAGTTGATATCATAGGCTCTACTGACTGTTATTTTTTATTTTATTTCCCACTATGGAGACATGTAGCTTTATCTTTAATGGCATATTATCAATAACTACAATAAAATAATATCACATATTTCCCCACAATATTTATTGCTGGTGTTACCATTGGTGATTTAATAATGTTTAACTTTCTTTTAGTAGTTGTTACTGTTTTTATGATGCTAACTTACTAAAAGCTAAAATAATTTCAATATTAGATTAAAAAGCATATTTGAGGAACATTCAAGGCACAACGAGTTCCTTACAAAGAAGAAATCCTATCCCTTGCCTTTGGGTCATTAAATAGATTGGGATTCGAGAATTAAGTCATAAGTAATCATGTTATTATTTGGATGTTGCCCCCTTCCTTCCTTACGAAATGGAATATTTTGGTTATCAGAAGCCGCTTTAAGTGTTTCTTGTGTATATGTCACAATTCAAATAAAAATAGCATTCACGGAGGTTTTCTTCAGAGCCATTGGTAAAACACTCCATCGCGGGTCCCTGTCAAGATATCTGAAAACTTTTTCTTGGCTTCTGGCTTTGAACAACGTTTGAGAGTAACAACAAGGCTTCATTGTGCACTGAAATTTCTGTAAGGCAACATTCATTCAAGTGTTGATCTGCATTGCACCGTCCAAGAATAACAACAGTTATTTATATAATTTTATCCATGTTTCTGTTTTTTCCTATCCATTTCACCCTTTCACCCCGCCTCTGCTGAAACACTGTAGCCTGTTTGGGAGGGGTGTGGGTGCTGTGCAGAGTATATACACATACAGATGTTTTTCTTTTTTTCCCCCTCTGGTCTTGCTATGGGAGTGACAGACCAGACCTTTCACTTATTACCAATGTTACTTAAAAGTTTGGGATTTAATATCACTTAACATCATTTCTAAGTAATGGAATAGCTCTCCATAATATGGATATATTTCTTGACCAGAAGGTTAGCTTAATTCAAGTTAGAATGACAATGGAAGACCAAAGTCTGTGATAAAATGTATGACCTTTAGTGGTTTGATTACAAAAGAGATGTTCAAGTATCACCAAGTTTAGTGGTTTGATTACAAAAGAGATGTTTGAGTATTAAAACCCATACCAAGGCTCAACAAATAGATGGATAACAGTCTGACTCTCATGGAGCTAGAATTTTCAATGATGTATAAGGGCCTCCTAAGTCCATGAAACTATAGAGCTTACTGTTTAATACTTATCGTGAAAACTTTGCCAATGGCTTGAGTAGAGTTATGTGGGATGTGAATGTTCATTTTCTTTGATAATATATGCCACCCAAGCTACTCAACCAGTTATTTTAGCTGAAAGTACACTAAAATGTAAAAAGCACTAAGCTTAGTTTTATATTAAAGGAAATCTTATGATCCTCTTAAAAATAAATTTAAAATAGTGTGCCTATGTAATTCTAGGTTTATATAAAATTGTTATAGTTATGGCCCCAAGATCATTTCTATATTCAATGGCAGAGCTAGCGCAAGGGAAGAAAGAGTTATGACTAAGTCAGAGGTCAATGTACAGCTATATTTTTACCCAAAGAAAAGTTTGGCTAGCAGGGTTGTGTGCTCGATCTCTAGGAGGCAGCCATCAACGATTCTCTCTCTCTCCCTTTCCCTTCCTCTCAGAAATCAATAAAACTATTTAAAAAAAGGAAAATATGATTGCAACCAACCTATAGATGAGCGATTTTCAACCAGTGGGCAATTTTTAAAACATGAAATACCTGACTATTTATTTAGTCAGAGCCACTGACCATTTTTCCCTTAGATTGTCAAATTAAAAAAACATGACAACAGCCAACACAACAATAGCTGTTCAATGTGAGTGAATCAAAATTACACCAATTTTCTTTTGTCAGATCAATAAAAATATATTTTTTGGTGTGCCACAGAATGTCAGTAATTAGCTTAAGTGTGCCACGAAATGAAAAAGGTTGAAAATCACTGCTCTGGATGGTTGAGGAGTAGACAAGCAATGGGTGTGAAAAGGGTAACTTTTTCTTTTGAGTGACTTATTGTAAAGACATCTTTGAGGAGTTTCTCACTTTATATATCTCTTTATTTCAGGATGAAAAATTTTGAAAGCAATGATTTAGCATTTTCTCCAAAGGAAAACTTTGGCGACAACAGTGGACTTGCTGCATACGTGGCAAAAGCTATAGACCCATCCATCAGCTGGGAGGACATTAAATGGCTGAGGGGGCTGACATCGCTGCCAATTGTTGCCAAAGGAATTTTGAGAGGTTTGTTTATTTCTCTACTTGACGTCACTCTGATTTTATGATCCTTTGTGGATATGATCATGACATTTTTAAGGGAAAATAATCAGGAAAAATTAACATGGGCAACAAAAGAGATATTCCATCTCTCAATTCTCCCTTTTGATGTTAGTGAGTAAATAATGTCCAAATTCTTAGGTAATGCACTGAAAGAGAGCAGGACTCCCATGAAGTAAGAAGTTACCCATTTCAAAGCATTAGGATACTGTTTCCTTTTTTTTTTTTTTTTTTTGGAGCGGTCATCAGTCATGGAGCTTGACAAGCTCTAGATCAGGGGTGGGCAAACTTTTTGACTCAAGGGCCACAATGGGTTCGTAAACTGGACCGGAGGGCCGGAACAAAAGCATGGATGGAGTGTTTGTATGAACTAATATAAATTCAAAGTAAACATCATTACATAAAAGGGTACGGTCTTTTTTTTTTCAGTTTTATTCATTTCAAACAGGCTGGATCCGGCCCGCGGGCAGTAGTTTGCCTACGGCTGAACTAGAGGGAAGGGGAAGCAAGGTATGGGTTTTAAACAGCAGAGCAATGTAATCAAATTGCACTTTATATAAGTAACTCTAACTGCGCTGGAAATGATTATTAAAAGGGGTCAAGACTGAATCGAGAGGGACCAATGACTAAGCTGTTGCAACAGTCCAGGTAAGAGATAATGAGTTCTTGGACTTACGCAATAGCAGTAGGCTAGAGAGAAGGACTTGGATGGAGAGAGATCAATGAGGCGTAATCATCAGGGTGGTGGTTGATTGGACCTGAAGGCTGAGGGAGAAGGAACACTCAGAGAGGACTCTCAGATTTCCGCTTGGCTGTCTCTGGGATCTGTGCAGTCTCATCTTAACGTGATTGCATCTGCAAAGACCCTGTTTCCAGATAAGGTCACATTCACAGGTTTCTGGGGGTTAGGACTTCAACATACCTTTCTGAGGGACAAAATTCAACTAATAATATACTTTGATTTTAATTATTTTTAAATGTTAAAA